AAACTATTGGAGAGAAATGTCGATATATTTCCAACACACCTAGTCAAGGAAAGTTGTCCAAGTTTGATTTTAATTTATTTATTTATTATAAGTGATGATTTAAATTATACAATGAAAGAATAAGGATTACATTGATTTATGAAATTCAATTCTAACTTATATTGTAATATTAACTTTTATTGTAATATTGGTCGTCTTAATGTCCATATATGCGAGCTTAAATAGACAACGATGTGAAAACCTCACGTATCCACTTTATCAACCTAACATATGTTTTATTAATAAATAATCAAAATCAAAACATTTATTAATGATTTATACAATTTAGACGAACAGAATATAAAAAGTCCAATGAAATTTCTAAATAAACAATAGACTATAGATAATTAATAAAACTTCATCTAAGGAGTAATCTAAACTTAACTATTTATAACTAAACAACAAGAACTTACGGACTAACCTAAAGCTGATATAAATCTGAATAACGTACAAAAATACCAAAGACTTCATCCATATAAGCCCACTTCTTCCAGCAGTTACAGAGATAGAGAGAGAGAGAAGAGAGAACTAACGTTTCCTCCAATGCACGTAGGTCTCTTCACCTTTTCCAATCACTGTTCCCTTCAAACTCCTAAAAACATCCGACTCTCTCTCTCTCTCTTTACACTGCCTTAACGCATTCACTGCCACATAAATTAACTCTTTTGTTTTGTGCACTACATTCATGAAAATAATTTTTTTTTTTCTTTCTGTAGGAGAACAAATAGAAACTACAAATAAAAAAGCTCTGGCTATCGTTACAAGAGTAAAAGAGAAGTTGACTGGTAAAGACTTTGCTCATGAAAAGAACCTTACCATTGAGAAGCAAGTTCAACTCCTCATTCAGCAGGCAACTTCCAATGAAAATCTTTGCCAATGTTATATTGGCTGGTATGTAATATCTCTTACCTAATTATTTAAAAATTTTATTTTGAATGGTTCTATTTAACTAAAAAAAAAAAAAAATCAGTGTGACACTATAGATCATTATGGTACAATTGCTTGTAATAAGACAACTATAGCTAAATGGTGTTGATAACAGGTCTTCACTGTAATCAGTGCCTGGGCAAATGTAAATGGATTAAAGTTAAATGCTGCCAAAACTCAGGCCATTGTCATTGGTCCCAAGCCTCTTATTAGATCCCATACCGACTTTCCCATATTACACCTTAATGACCAGCCAATTTCCTTCTACTCCTCTGTTAAAAATTTAGGATTTTTCATAGATCAAACCCTCTCCTGGAACTACCATATTTCCTGTCGAACAATTTCTACCCGTAAACCTGTAAAAAAACAATTTCATCGCTTCCACCATCTCTTAACTCAACATATCCGTAGACTCCTAATTTCCTCTCTCATCTTTCCCCACTTTGACTACAGCTGTGTGGTGTATGATGGCCTCTCGGTGGAGCTCTTAGAATAAGAAGGGAAAATACTTATCTATAAAATAAGTAATAACGTCAAAAGCAACTTATTTTAAAACTTTTTGTTCTTTAATTATCAGATGGGCATTATATAATTGCTGGATTTTTTTTGTTCGTTTTTCTTTTATTTCTTTTTTTTTTCTCTAATACAATTTCCTTTATAGGAATGAATACATTCTAGCATTTCTAATTAAATTTATATATATATATATATATATATATATATATATATATATATATATAATATGTATATAAGATGCCAAGTATAATACAAATAGATGTATATATATATATATTTATATATATCTATAAACATCCCTTTAAGACCCAATAAATCACAATAATATAATTTTTTTTTTTTTAATTAAGGAACTAAATAAATTAATTTAATTTTTTATATATTTAAATGTTGTTAAATCACAGCGCCAACAACTTGTCACTTTATAATTACAAATATTCTTTTAAACATTTGTTCCTATTATCGATAGCTGTGAAAGATTAGTGAATAGCTGCGTAAGATTTGTTATTGGTGCCCCGAGGTACTCCCATGTCTCTCGCCACAACACTGAGTTAAAGTGGCTCTTCCCCTCCTTTCGAAGACAATATTTCCTAGGTATGTTCCTTTAACAAATCATCAACAACCATCGTCCTTCTTACGCCCACAACCTTCTCCAATTCCAGTCCTCATTCCATTCCCTTTCAACAAGATCTCAACCTTCTGAACTCTACATCCCTTCTCACAGATCTGCCTCATTTCATAACTCCTTTATAGCTCGTGCCGTCAATTTCTGGAATTCCCTACCTATAATTTTTCCTACTGTACATAGTTTTAAGTGTTTTGTATATAGATATTTTTTTTTTGTTTATAACTTGTTATTTTCTTTACTTTCTCTTCTTTTATTTTGGCCAGATGTAGTCTTTTAATTGTGTTCTATGTTGTTATTCTAAAGGGACTTTGTCCCAGAATAAAGTTATTTTCTATTTCTAATAGAATTATATGTGGTGATATGGAATTGGGTCCCATTAGGTAACTAATATATCTTATCCATATTGGAGGAAATGCAGTAAGATCCGAAACCAAGGAAAATGCATAATTATATCTGAAACCAAACTTGAGCCTACTTATTGTTGAAAAGGAGATAGGTGATGTTTGCATTCATTGCAAGTACAAAGATCTGTCTAGGAAAATTAAACTTTTACTGTACATGGGCAGAGGCATGGACATTGAGCAAGAATTATGAAAAAAAAATTTTTATCCATATATATGTGCTTGTTTTAGGTGAAAATTTTATAATAAAAAAAATTCTGCAAACACATTAAAGGTGGGAGTCGTAGTACTAATATTTATCTCGACTAGCTTTTGTCAAGATTCTCTGCCTTTAATGTGTTAATATTTGAAAGGAAGATTTGGTATGTTTTGAGGAATCTATCTCTAGAGCATCTGGAGGAGAAGAAGGAATCAGTAAATTTATGGTTTACATGAGGATCCTGATGTCGCAAGGTATATACATGCAAGATGGGCCATGTGACAAGAATGTTGGACCTAGAGATCCCAAAAAAGATCCTATCAGGACAGATACATGAAACAAAAAGGCCTAAAAGACAGAAACTACGATGGGAAGATGGAGTGGCCCATGATGCAAGAACAATGCTGAGTGGGAGATTCTGGAAGGCGACGGCTCACAACCGAGATGACTGGATGAGGTTGATTTTGGAGGCATTAATTCACTAGTGGGTAGTAGTGCCTAGGAAGTAAGAAAGGAAAAATAAATTATATTAATTTTCGTTGTGCTGACTAATAGAAATACCTGTCGTAAATAATAAAACCTAGCTGAGAGTGATCTAGGTCTAATCACCTCCTTGCACAAACTTCAACCAACAAACTGTACTTCCTTACAATAATACTGAATCTAAGCCCCTCCATGGGTTGTAGTGGTGCAACTATTTTTTTTTTTTCGTTATGTATGTAAATGTTATAAAGCTGAATGAAAATACAACTTTTTCTCAGGGTTTAGACATTATTGTATGGAGTATCGTTATACTTAACATTATTATGTCCTGGTTTATTTATTAATATCAAACCAAACATGGATTTTATATCATTGTATCAGGAATCGTTATAAAATGATTTATCTATGTAAAAAAGTTGAGAATATTTGGATAAATTAATGAGAGATTTACTCATTCATGTAATAATAATGCAGGGTATATCACACGATTTCACAATGTTGGAAGTACGTAAATCGCAAGAAAATAACAATTTGTTTTTTCTTTTTCAGGTGTCCCTTTTGGTAAAAAGATTGAATTTTTTAGCTTAGATGATACTACTTACATCATTGCTTTCTGGAACTGAAATTGAGAACTTTTGTGTATAAAATAGTGTTTTTAATATGCTTTGCATATTTTTTTTACATTGTTAATAATATATTTTACATTTTTACTTTTTTATTTATTGCTAAATAGAAACAAAGACTTCAAAGGTGAAAAATAAATAAAAAATACAGTCATTATTTGTTAAAACTTGTATAATATTGTATTGTACATTGTTAACTGAAATTATTCAATAAATAGCATTAACTGCTAAAATGTACAAAATAAAAATATATTAATTTTAAACATATACAGCTTACAAATTTTAATACACATCCAGTCGTTATTGTAATACTAAGGTTTTTATTATTTATTTAAGACTTAGAATAAGAAGGGAAAATACTTATCTATAAAATAAGTAATAACGTCAAAAGCAACTTATTTTAAAACTTTTTGTTCTTTAATTATCAGATGGGCATTATATAATTGCTGGATTTTTTTTGTTCGTTTTTCTTTTATTTCTTTTTTTTTCTCTAATACAATTTCCTTTATAGGAATGAATACATTCTAGCATTTCTAATTAAATTTATATATATATATATATATACATATATATGTGTGTATATATATACATATATATAATATGTATATAAGATGCCAAGTATAATACAAATAGATGTATATATATATATTTTTATATATATCTATAAACATCCCTTTAAGACCCAATAAATCACAATAATATAATTTTTTTTTTTAAATTAAGGAACTAAATAAATTAATTTAATTTTTTATATATTTAAATGTTGTTAAATCACAGCGCCAACAACTTGTCACTTTATAATTACAAATATTCTTTTAAACATTTGTTCCTATTATCGCTAGCTAAAACCACAACATACAAATTATCGTATTACATACAAATATTATTTATTTAAATTTAAGTTGACTCTGAAAGCTTTTTTTAATCATTAACCAAGGTAATAGGAATACACACTTTGGCTTATAATAAATACGTGTCATTTAGAATAAAAAAATGACTATATTAATTCATATTATTATTATTTTATTTTTTAAAATTACGGGATGGGGAAGTAACATTAGAATTATAATACTAATTCATATTAAAGCCATAAATAAATAAATCTAAGAAATACATTAGAATAAACATTCCAGTACGACATTATACAAAAAGCATATTTTAAACGATAGACAATAAGTCATTATTTACACGGTCGGTTTCAAGGAGAGATTACGAAGTAGACAAAGATCACTAGCGGTAGCCTTCCTTCCTGCGGTAGTGTTTAGGTCGTACAGTCTCAGGACTAAGTCTGTAGAGAACAAATCTGGCAAAGCGCGTACCAAACTTGGAACCTGCAAAGATGACAAATTATTGTATAACATAAAAAAAAATGCTACATCTGGAAATTAAAAAAATTCCCAAAAAAGAATAAAACAACATGCAACTACAACAAACACAATTTGATTTTTAAAATGCCAAAATAATATATAAGGAAAATAGTAATAATAAAAGAAAAATTATAGAGTCTATATATATATTACTAAAAATTTAAAGAATTCCGTTAACAACCATACAGATGTGGACAATATAAATACTTTTTACTCAAATGTAATTAATAATATTCGCATATAATATAAGAATAATTTAAAAGCAATAGAAAAAGCATAAATTAGATAAAATAATCCACTAATGCAAAACAACAGAAGGAAAATCCCTCTCCTTTTGACTATCCCCACCAGGACGATATAAGTCAGTCCCTCCAGAAATGAAGTAGGCGAAACCCCTATAGACCATGACAATTTAATGTTCACTGAACATATTATTTATGACACTAATGATGAATATATAACGGAGGACTCTATCAAGGCAATAGTCAATTGTTTTTAATGTTTAAAGTTACTTACATGTATGGTTTTTTTTATAAGAAAAAGAGTATACTTTTATGTATAGTTTTGGATAAATTTATGTGTATCGAAAATAATATGAAATAGATCGTTAGACAAGTTAATTAAGTGTAATAAGAAATTCTTTCTGGAATTATGAATGTTAACCAATAATGATATTACAATTTTCCAGACTTGAAAATGACCCTTAGTATGGTCGAAACGTCGAATTAAATAGCGTATCAATAAAATGTTTGGTGATAATTGGACTAATTTATATAAAAATAAAACCTCAAGACACCAAAATTAGGATAAATGAACAGAAGAAAAAATAAAAATAAATATTATATTGATGGGTTAGGGTAAGCGAAACAGCAATGGAAAAAGCTAAGGAAATTTTTGTCTTTTTTTGGCTTATGCCGCCGTAATTATTGTAGTTATAAACTTCTCCGTTGGACATTTAGAATCTCTAGTCTCCTTTTTCTATTTAACACTTTAAAATTGAAAAAATATTCAGTTATCCAGCTATAATCTCCATTAAAAACACTTTTTAGCACTAGTGATGGACATCCCAAAATTCTAGTAATGGACAGGGGATCGGTACCAGTAATAGACATACCTCAGTATAATTCTAAAATCTTTGTTTAACTATAAAGATAAGATAAATGTTCAACTTATTCTTACCAAACTGTTAGTAGAAAGATATGAAAAACACATTGATCTCAAGAACACTATATAAACATAGGCATATATATACTAAAAGATAGGCATTTAACAGTTTTCTTTTGGGAACTTTGTTCATACAGTTATCAATAGAGGACATTGTTCTTCAATCTAGAAAAAACTGAAACCTTAAATTAACAAGGAAGCTTATTATTTACATTTTAAGTCCACCCTGTCCATAATTGGTGCGTTGACCCTACTTGTAAAACCTTTCAAGTATAAAAGAAGTGAATTAGACTTACGTATTGGAAGCAAGTCATAGAGATATATTTGAAAATGCAAATGCAAAAATATAGTTACATAAAACATCCAAAATGAAAGTGATATAAGTGTTTATATTGTTCAGAAGCTACTATAATCTCTGATGGTACAAAATTTATATTTGATTTTCATATTAAGTGACCTTACAAACACTGCAAGGGCATAACCTTTATAAATGAACTTAGTATGGTGAACATTATATAAATTACTTACTTAAAATTCCTAAAGTTCAGACTTTTCTTTAAATAAAACTTCTGCCGAACAGTTATTTATCAAACTTTTATACATTTATAATCTCTATAAATAATATAGAGAATCATATAATCTTGCTATATTAAATCATATTCCATTTCTTCAAATGATCTCTTTACGATAAAAACATGAGAAGGAGTTGATCAGGGGGGAGGGAGGGGGGGTGCGTTCAAATTAATACTAAATTAAATAAGTAGAATTATTTAATTTTGCAGACGTTTCGACTCACTTTGTAGGTCTTCATCAGGGCTACAAAAGATACAAAACATGGTGAAAATAAATGAATATAAGTAGATATAAAATAAGAATAAGTTGTCTGATACAGAACTAAAAGATGATATCAGAGATATAGTGGGTGACAATGTAGTTAAAATATCAAGTATTATATGTAGAAGATACAAAGATACACCAGTTTTTGTATCTTCTACATATAATACTTGATATTTTAACTACATTGTCACCCACTATATCTCTGATATCATCTTTTAGTTCTGTATCAGACAACTTATTCTTATTTTATATCTACTTATATTCATTTATTTTCACCATGTTTTGTATCTTTTGTAGCCCTGATGAAGACCTACAAAGTGAGTCGAAACGTCTGCAAAATTAAATAATTCTACTTATTTAATTTAGTATTAATCTGACCGCACCCCCCGATTAACTCCTTCTCATATTATATCAACGGTCAACCATCTCTACATCATTACGATAAAAAACAAGAAAGAAAGAAATCAAGAAAAAACAATTACCAGCGTTGTAGGCATGTGTTGTAGGAGCGGTCTTGCTTCATCTTTACCACAGCTAACAATCAATTCTATGAATCTGAATACAAAATGAGTTTGTTGAGATATGTAAGGAGTCTGTTCAGTCACGAAAGAGAAGAAATTAAAGAGAAATTTTAGAGATTTAAGAAGCGGTGGACGAATTTGAGGCGAATCGGTTTTACTCTGACTGCTGATGGCGACACTGGATACAACTGCTGCGCTGCCACCAACTCCATCCTCGAGGTGTAACAGTTTTCCTGGTATCAAATCTTCTATCTCTTCCATCTGCCGAATGATAATGAAGAGAATATAGATTAAAATTAAAAAAAAAAAAAAAAAAAAGTTTATTCTGGAACCAGGTCCTTGAAGAATTACAATAATGTAAAATAAAACAGATATAATTAATGACCAAGACATTTTAACAAATAAGAAATTTATATATATTTATTAGGTAAAACATAACCAATAATAATAAAGAAAAAACAAAAATATAATTATAAGCATTGACAAACAGAAAAAATTAAATTAAAAATATAATGATTAGTGCACAAAAAATAATTATTTTTCTGTGATATAAACATAGAAAGTAAAAACAAAATTAATTACACAAATTCAAGAAGTGTGAAGCTAGGCAAATGTAACCACACTTTAAATATTTCTTTGTTAACTTTCAATATTATTTTTTAACAATGTTTAGTTGGTACGTCATATCTTTGTTAAATCTTTATGAAATCTAACAATTAAAGCATCATTTAGAAGATTTATCTTCTCTTATAGGTGAGAAAAATAGACATAACCACATATCAGGGGAAAAGTTTTAATATGTTATTGTTTTTAAAACTTTTTATTTACTCAAATTATAATTTTCTTAATTTTTTATTGAAATATCTTAAAACTCCAACAGTTTTCTATAGCGTTTGGATTTTGTTCGCTCTAGCTCTAAAGAATGAAGACCTTCTCTTTCCTCAAAAAGATAAAGCAAAATGAAAAAAAAAAAAAAAATAATAATCTTTAAAGTCAATAAACTAAAAAGCTTTAATAAAAATTGGGTAACTTTGCTCGCGTCCGTACATTGCACATGTGCCCTCCGGTTATAACTAAATGAGCAATATTGTCGCCGCGAAGACAGCTCAGCATCATAGAATCCATCAAAATTAAGGAAACCAAAAGGCCCAGTCAACACACAGCTTAAGGCTATGCTCAGGAACGCTGGTGGCCTAACTGCTGACAAATTCACAGAATGGAAGACGATTATTACAAAGGAGGATGCTGATTTATATGGGATCGTAGAGGCCGGCTCATCCACTGAAAATATCCAGTTCTACCAATTACCAGGTTATCAAACTTATAAACTGCAGAGATCCAGGCAGGTTGCATCAGGAATAATTGTCGCTGCTAAATCATCCCTCAAGGGAACCTTTTCAATTAAAAAGAAGAAATGGAAGAGAATGATAAATTGGAGGCTGTATTAGATGTATGGAAAAGGTTCATGGTGGAGTTGTGTTGGGCTGCCAGGAGCCGAATGGCCTAATAGCCAACGGCAGAGGCATTTAATAAAAAAAAAAAAAAAAAGGCCTATGATTTTTTTTTAAATTAATTTTAATATAATTTTTTAAACTCTTATTATTTTCACTTAATATTCTACAGGACAGTTCTATTAGAACATTTAAGTATCCTTCCTTATAATTATTAATAATAATAATCCTTCCTTACAACTTCAATAATACAGGAGGAGATTTATAGTTTTTGATTTATTTGAAAAACTAATAAAATATGTAGTGGTTTCTATGGGTACCAGCTTACAGAACATTGTTAATCTGAAATATCAACTAATGGATACTTACATCAGTAGGGAAAGTCCTCTTTGGAGTCGAAGTTCCTTGATATTGCCATGCGGCGTAGATGCAATAGACACACAGTTTGGCCAATGCGGAACATTGCGGTTCCATTAACTGGTTATTCCTGAAATAAACGATAAGAATATGAAATATTTTTTGAATACCTCACTCCAGGATGATTAACAATGTTGACTAGATAGTTATTTATTGGTATTTAAGGGGCTTAAAGTTTTGTATAGGAATCTTTCAAAAATATAATATATATACTTACAAAATTATATTGTGTAGGTAATGAGGAAGAACGAACATCAAGAGTATTTCAGTACATGTTTCTATATCGAGATGAAACACAGCCAATACCAGATCAACGGCTTTATCCAATTCCTCTTTATAACGAAGTTTCATTACTTCCTAAGAATGAGAAAAAAAAAATTAATTATAAAAAAAAATGGAATAAATATCTAGATTGAAGGGTTTCAAAATCAGGAATATTCATTAAAGAAAAGAGAGAAAAATTGTATCAAATAATACACTATCTGCTTCCTTTAAAACTAGTATCTAAAGTATCTGCTAGTATGAAACATTGACATCCTGCGCTAACTTACTGGGAAAAGATGTGGAGAGGATGAGTTAGGAAGAAAAATCATTAGTAAAAATATGGTGCTGTGGGCGCATCACACAACGTTCACTTACCACCCTCTAAGCAGAAATAAATATTTTTAGACAAAGGAGAAGTGAAAGTAAAAATTACACACACTATATTGATTTATATTTCATTGTGGGTATTTTAATTTTTATTAAGTACCCTTATATATGCAAATTTTAATATTTATATCGCTGTAATCTATACAATGAAGTATTAAATAATACCAATAATAGCATCTATGAAAACCGCGTATGTATATTTACATGATATTGTTTGAGTCCTTATTATAAGCTCATGTTACATATGGAAGCCTGTTCTACTTCTTTAGTTAATTATCAAATTCTTTCATATTTTATATTTAGCTATCTTTTATATTGGAGATTTAATATGAAATTGTCAATTGTTTCAAATAAAAAAATTAAAAGTACTTTAGGGGAAGCTAATATTGAAGCCATTTAAGCCCTGTTAGAAAACATCAATCACAATAAAAACTACATTTTATTTAAAACTGCTTAATTTTACACTCGTATGATGAATTTAATCAAAATCGTTAGAGCCATTTTCGAGATAATCGTAAAAATGTGTTTAATCGATGAAATAAAGTGACACTTCCACTAATATTCAAAATTTTATTGAGAACTAGACAATCTACCGCAGGCAACAATAAAACTGTTGCCAGGGTGACCATCTATAAAGGTTAGACATAGGCGGTCGTAAGTTTACGAGAGACGATACAATAAAATAAATATATAAAGAAACATTAACGGAAAAACAAACTTGGGTCATCTAAATTAGATAGACAATATTTAATCTATCATTACAAATTGAAAAGCCCATCTAACTTATATTTAAACTTATAGAAGTAATTTAAAGAATTACCCAATTAATCAAATTTAGAAAGAAAAAAAAATCCCAGCTATCTGGGATAAAAATATGGTTGAGAAGTTAGTTGGGGATAGCAGTAATAAAGAAAAATCTTGTATTTTATTTTATGGCAACGTTTACGGCCTTCAATAGGGCTAAGTTACTTCTTTTGAGGTTGTCCAGTTAGTGAAAAAAAATACTATTTTACAATAAAGACACTATTGGAGATAAGAAATACTATTATAGACAAGAAAAATAATATAAGTATTTTTTTTACCTTGACAAGTGACATAACAAACCATTGAGGTCCAGCCGTTATGAAAAGACTTTCGAGAGCGTGGGTAGCAGTAACATTCAACCATCCTTTATCTTGCACAGCCGACCAAATCTCACCAAGTTCATCGCTCATAGGTTCTCTAGAAACAATGCTAAAAAAGTATTCTATCAGACGAGCTGAACGAACAAAACGAATAAACGTAAAATAATTTAAATAAGAAGAAAATAATGAACATTATAATAATAAAAAAATTAATACATTAAAACCTCTTCATAAGCACTTCTCTCTCTAAATAAATATTCTATACACAGGTCAATATTAAATCTTACAAAAACAATACTTTTGAAATAATAATTTACTTAGCTCAATATGTAAAAACATAAGTATTTGTTCAAAATAAAACCATATTCAAAAGAATTATAGCAGATTTAAACGAACAATAGCCCTCTATATCCCTTTAATCCTTAAACTGCTATAGCTGCCGTAACTGAACGTGACACTGTTGCTAATGTCAGCGCGTTCCACTCTTGCCCTCAGTACTAATGTCGACTATGATGTTCAGCTGTTTTTCCTTCCATTTCCTAATGTCGAGTATAACCGCTGCGACCTTGCTACATAATATTGGTTTCCTAGTGAAATAAAGCTTACAGATACACTGGGGATTTATTTTAGAGCATTTTGTAGAATTTATGAACCGTTATGGGTGAATCAACTATTCTCTGGCTGTCTCAACCATTTTCATTCTGTATGAAACAACTGAGTGTTCAACTGCACTGAGGTTATAAAAATGTCATTTAGTTTAGTCTTAATTATTTTAATTGCTTTTTAGTTAAAAGTTATTCCTTTTTTTTTTTTTTTTTTTGCTTTGTTATTTTCTTTAAAATGAAGAAACATCGGTTTACTGCTCCGGAATTCATTACTACTGCTGAAAAAAATAAAATATTAGGCGCAACCAGTGTCAGTCTACAGCCCGAATCAATAAGGAGAATAGAAACAAAAAGTAATATTAAAAGATAGTAATAAGAGCTGGTAATGAAGGGTGGAAAGCAGGTAAAAAGTAGGTAGTCGGCTTTCTCAACACTATGGTAGACATAAAGCTAATCACTCGCAGCAGCGAATAGGTTAACATATATACGAATATACTATTTTAAGTGTATGTATCTAAATTCCTAAAATCCTCTTAATAAGGGACAAAATATAAGTCACCACGACTGTCCAACATCCAGAGGTTTCATTCTATTTGTTAGCCTACGTAAATAAAACTTGGTGCCCAAACAGGTATATAGTAATTACGACAGCTGAATTCCAAATAAAGAAACGAATCTGAGCCATACCTGTGAGAGAGTGGGCTGACTTTGAGTTTCGAAGAAGTTGCAATGTGCATGTCATATTGGATTTTTCTTATAATCTGGCCCATCAAATAAAAACGTTCTTTAAAATTCTCTTGCTGAGGGACTTCTTCGTTACCGACGGCCGTTAAGAACTGCTGCACCATGTTCATAGGTTTCAGGAGGGAATCTTGAGGTAAAATCTATAACAGAAAATGACATGTTTTTTGTAAATAACACATGATAAATAAATGTTATATAATTATAATCTATCTTTGTTTAGTAAATATTCACTCAAGCATTTCCTATTATAACACAACTTTTTGAATTGGCTAAAATGCACATGCATAAAGCAAAAAATAATTTTTTTTTTATTTCCAACCAAGAGCAAAAAATTTGTGAAGCTCACACCTTCATTTTAGTTGATCAAAAAGTTAGAGTGAACCGTGAACTTCTTGAAGAAAAAGTTTTATTATAAAAGTATAAGAATAACTTTTATAGTACGAACTTTTTCTTAATAAGTTTGCTAAATACTTTTAAAATCAAACTTATTTAAAAAATAATATAGTGTCAGGATTAAATATTTTACTTATACAGTCGAACCTCTATATTTGAAACATAAGGGTTCCTAAAAAAAATTATATATAAAAAAATCGATACATAAATTGCTATATTTTATCTTTATTAAACTAAAACGATTAAAATTAGTATTAAAAAAAATCTGACTAAAATGAATAATTATTACTTAAGAATAGAATACAATAATAGAAAATAAACTTTATTCTAGGATGAGGTCCTTTAAGAATAACAATTATGAACAAAAAATAAAAACCACATCTGGCCAAAAATTATAATAATCAAAATTAAAGAATATATACATTATCTTTAGTGAAAGTATATTAAAGAAAATAAAAAAGTAACACCATTTTGAAAAAACCAAACATTATTTAAATGAAAAGAAAAACAGAAATCAAGTAAAATAAAATGTTATAACCACTATGGGTTGATTCTTAAAATTAAAACTCCAACAATTTCAACAACCATTCACCTCAGTCAAAATTTGATTTTGGGATATGAGAAGGAATTGGTAGAGATGATATATATGAATGAGGACAAGGAAGAGGCATGGTGGATATCAGATGACAAGGAATTCCAGAATGCAGTGGATCGGGCAACAAAGGAATATTCAAATGTCTTAGTTCTGTGAGAATGAATATAAAGGTCAGAAACACGGGATCTTGGTTTCTGGGAGTGGACCACGGGTTTGAACTGTAGGAGACTGTAGATGTAAGAAGTGTGTCGGGTGTTGATCGTTTGGAATAGGAAATATTCAAGGGAATATTGTCGGCGGGAAGAAGGGAAGAGCCACTTTTACTAGGTGAGACACATGAGACTACATCAAAGTAATGAAAACAAATCTTAAGCAGGAATTCATAAGTTGCTTCAATCTATCAACAAGTACCATCGAGTGGCTTCAGTACACCACATAGTCGTAGTCAAGATGGGGGAAAATAAGAGAGGAGCTTTCGGATGGGTCATGGGAGCAGGTGACGGGAGTGATAAAATAACTTAAGGGTGCCAATTGACTTTTGGGAGATATGGAGTTTCAAGGAGAGGTCATCAATGGTGATTCCTAGAATTAACAGATCAGCTTCAATTAACAGAGAAGCTGAATGTGATTGTGATGGGATGATCGTTGATGACTAAAGGAGGAAGGAAGGGGATGGATTTAAGAAGAGAACTGGAATCGATAATAATGGCCTGAGTTTTCATCGTGTTTAGCTTTATGTTACTAAATAAATAAAATAACTGTACAATTTACCTGCATGTAACTACAAAGCCAGACGGATGCACATATTGGAAGACAACACATGCTCTGACGCATATTTTCTAATATCCGTTTAACATCAGCTGTTGAAAGTAAACTCAACTCCCAGGCAGATACAACTTCTTTAGTCGCAGCTGGCACACTCATGCATATTCTATCCCAACTTACTCCACTGCAATAAAAGAAAAATATAGGTAATATTATGAACAAGAAATAAATGAAAAAAGGAAGGTTCCTTTGAAATACCTTATTGAAGGTAATCTTTAAACGTAAATCTTGAGAGTTGTACCAAAAATGTTTTGTATTTTTATTTGGTTTAATTTTTTTAATGTTAAATGTTTTATTCACATTATTAACTTTAATTAAGGATAATTTTTTATTCCTATCTTTCGCAATACATTTACTTATCATTATTTTGTTGATATGGGGGTTGTTTATGAAGTTATTTAATATTTAATACAGAATAATAAAGGAACGTTCCTAATTAACCCAAATCATCTAAATACCTCGACTCATGGAAGTTAAATGATACATAAAGCATCATTTCACCATAGGTGGAAAAATCAGCATATAGACTTCAAACCACAGAATCTATACTATATTATATCCATATTTGAGAGTTTGAGCTTTTATTCTGGTCACTCTTCTTTTAGTAGTATATTTTTCGAGCAAAAACTGTATACTAAGCTATTATTTAACAACTAAGAAAATTTGAACTTACATCGCTGAAAAATCAGGTTGTGGTGATTTAAGCTGAGCAAGCAGAGCATCGACGACGTGCTGGTCCGCTTGGCTCAACATCAGATCGGGGCATTTTGGATGAGCCCTTTCCACCATGCATTCTTCCACCCAAGTTTCAATGAAACTTTTTTCTCCACGCATTTCTTCACCTCCAAACACTACCTGAAAGATTGATATGTCTTTATTTATTGTCTTGCGAGTCGTTCTTACAAATATAAATATATTTAAACAACAAAACAAACAAGTACATGAAACAATAAATGCTTATGTTAATTGTTTCATTAAATTTATTTTAGTAGCTATTAAGAGCTCTTATGGACCCATATCTTGTTTTCCAACGGAAAGAAAATGGCAGAAGTATCAATAAAACAAAGATACAACTTTAAAGACTTATTGATACTCACAGTATTTAATTATTATATATTTTTTAATAATATTAATATTATCAAGGAAGGAGATGGTCCGGGGTGGCGGTCATAAATAGGCTAAATAGTGGCAAGTATTAGTAGTAGTTGCCACTATTTAGCCTAATTATGACCATCTCTTTCTTTTATAATGCAACGGTCAACTATTAAATATTCAATATTAATATTATCATTAAATATTATAATAAATTATTATGAAATAGACATATCGATAGCCAAACTGCAAAAACTAAAATGATTCCTTAGACAAATTAAAGCACGTAATTTTTAATTTTACGAATTGGATTTTCCATACAATCCAATATTGAACATGATGTAATATTTAAGATCTGGATGTTTTTAATAATTGAAAGAAGGGGAACTTGATTAACATCAACTTGAAATCATAGATTAACAATTGCTTTAATAGCAATAATTAATTATTTATTAATTAGCAATAATTATAATTATTTATATATTGCCTATCACAAAAACAAAAATTTATTACCAGGAATTAGAAAAAAACAAGATGAAAAAAAAAATTAAATAGGATGAAAGAAAATATATTTTGAATGACTAAAAACCTATAAGATTATAAATGTTTATTTTTAAAAAGGCTTATAACATAAAACCAGGAAAAAATTAAAGAAATTGCTCAACATGAAAAAATAAATAAATGGAAGAAAATCATAACTGATTTAATAATGATTGGAACCTATAAAACTGATTAAAATTATAATTATAAACAAAAAATTAACTAAACCAGTATTTTCCAGTTTTTTTTTGGGAGGGGAGAGAGGGAGGGTGTAAAAATACTCGCTTTTTGATGTGCAAAACAGTGAAAATAGGTTTTATATTAAGTATAAACTGAAAAATCGCATCACCTTTAAAATAATTTTAAAATAAATACCTGAGATCCATTAGTTTGCACGATGGAGCAAAGCATCAGAAATGTCATATCAAAAAGCACAGGGCGAGCGGTGGCTCCTCCTTTAGCACATTCATTGAATTTGATTAATTTAGAAACAAACGTCTTCAGTTTCCCTTCGACCGCTGCTACTGATAAAATTAATTCAAAGCTTTTGCCAACCAGGACTTGAGACAAAACATTCGGCAATGCATCCTAAAAAAAAATGTAATAAGATATAAAATAAAAGCAGAAATGTAACTAATAGTAAAAAAAATACATACATATGCATTTTTTAAATAAAGTAATGACCTTCTTGTCTCTAGACTAACTTCCATTAGAATTTTTTTTTTTTTGCACTTAAATCTAGACAATTATTTTTTAATATTTGTTCATGTTTTATTATTATCTGACTATTCAGCTTTTATAAAAGACTAACCATGAGGAAATTAAGCTAAGTGCTGATTCTCAATGACCAAAAAACTAATTAAAGTCAAAGTCGTCAATCCGTCATCTTTGGATACCATTTTGGGGCAGTGCGTTCACTTTTTTCTGTGGGGACATTAGCTATTTTTAAATAAATAGTTACAAGGAACACAACGATATGCAATTTATAGGGATGTGTGGGGGGGAGGAGGGGAGGGGTGTGCACGATAGAGGGGTCTGGCCCACCGTGTAATACATTTTATATATAGGTAAGTAAAATAAAAACAACTTTATTTAAGAAGAAGTACAACTTTATTTGTTTATAACTCAAATGTTATACAATTTATGGTTAAAATATTATTAAATTTCCTATGAAGTGAAAATAAAAAAATCTAAATCAGATCATTATTTGCAACGATACAGCATATTGGACAGATTATTTGTAATATTCAATCTAAAAAATTAATTGAATTTACATATTTTTATATGTATCAATGAATAGAATACATACTATGCAAATTATTCTAGTAAAATATAATGAATGAAACAGTAAAATTTTATTTTATTTTTTACATTACTTGATAATTAAAAATCATACTGAATACTTATAACTTATAGAAATCAAGTTTTTAGATTTTACGACATAATACTTTCATGTTATGAAGTTGCAGCTGTGTTTTTTAAAAATTAATTAATCTGTTTATCCTTATTAAAATAATTACAAATTTATAGAAATTCTTATTTCATCCGAGTTTATCAAGTAAAAAAAATTCTTTCAAGAATATTGAAGATTTGTATATAGGTCACCCACAATGAGACATTGCTTAGCCAGCAGTTTTTTTTTTTAACTTCGACTAACTAATCAACAAGAAACATCATCATTCTCATTCATCCACTTCAGTTAAAAGTGAACGATTTATGAAGCTGGTTGAGCCAAGATTAATCACCGTATTATTTCTTATATCAATTTCAATATCACCAAGGCATCATACTATTTTTATTTATAAATCAAACATATGATTTCTTCTTGTATATAAACTTTTTGATGCAGTTTGTATACCAAATTGATATTTTTGAAGTTAATTAAGAATTATTTATTATTAAATGATTGTACTCAATTTAATTCTATTTATTTTACTAATAATGGTATTATTGTACCTCTTAATTGTTACAGTTTATTTGTTAATTATAATTACAAATTATGACAATTGAAATGTTTTTAAATTTTCTATATTAAATGACAGTGTAATATGTTTATAATATACAAGAAAATATATACATGTAAAGAAATTGAAATAGTTTTTATTATGATGATTTAAAATTATATATAAGAACTCGCAACAACAACGTAACAGAAGAGAAGGATAAAAGAAAAAATATTGACAGTCAATTCCACATTTTACTTTCAAGTCATCAAATAAGTGATTAATAATAAGAAGGTAACCTAAACCGATTATCAAGATATTATCACTGATTGTAAGTATTCTTTCAGTAATATGTGTTACATATAACTCATTTAATTTTTTAGTCAATATTATTATATTGCTAATAATTATAAACCATTACAGTCTCTTGAAATAGCTGATAAAATCTGTATAAGTGAAAAAAATAATCCAGATGAGCATTATTCAAGATCTCCACTATTTTCCATTAAATAAGTGATTTTTTTTTTGTATTCTATGTTGCATGGGAAACCATTGATCATTGGACATACTGTTAAATAAAACAATTGTGATTTTTATTTATAGAACTATTGCAGCCAACAACATAAGAATATTTAAATTAAGGTTGAGAACATGTTTTACATCAAGAAAATTAATAAATTACAAGTTTTTGTTTCTCATTCAACATAAGATAATTTGTGATTGAAATTTGTTTTAGAAGTTAGGTACTACTGTACAAGTGTCACTCCAATTTGACGAGTGGAATAAGACCCCATGATCACAACATAAATTCTGAGAACAGCTGAGCATTAATGTGTCCACAGTATACTGTGGACACATCAATCCTTGGCTATGCTTGGGTTATAACCTTCTTTTATTTAGATGGCGATTCACAACTTCCGAAAAACTCACAGCTGGTCTTTTCAGTTAAAATTGAGGCATTAATTAGCTTTAATCATATCACTGATTTTCTAAAAATATAAACAAACCCTCAGGGAGCCCTTTCAGTAGAAGTTCGGGCCTTACCAGACGATTCAGTCACTTCGTCAATCTACTTTCGGACACACTCAGGATTCCATTTATGGTTTGATCATGAGCATAAGAACACGTGCGACCTATCAAAATTCACTGACTGACATTTGTACTGTAGTACTGGACTTATAATGTGTTTATAAATTAGTTTTGTAGTACTTTTTTATTTGTACTTTACATCTGATTCTTAATAGAGTTACAAGTTTTATGATGAAGTATGAACATACACTCTCAACCACATCTTCTTGAGTGCTTATGAGTGCAAGACTCAGTGACCACCACAGGGGCTTCTATTGTTTTGAAGACATCAAATACTGTTCTACATGAGATCTATGGTGAAGGACGATTTTTGTAGGTTTATTTCTTTTTATACAAATTCTTTCTTTTATCACAATTCAGATAATTTTTTTTTTCCTAATAAATTAATAGTTTATAATTTAGTTTTTCTTTCTTTTAGGTTTCATTATTTTATTTAAATATATATTTAATTTATCTTTTGTTAATTGACATTGAATTTCTGTTCGATCGGCTATGTCATTTATCAATAAAGACAATAAATTTCATTTGGTCATCATAAGAAGAAATTATAATGAAAAAATAAATAAAAAAATTCAACCTGTATTTTAGAATAATCAGCATCTAAAGTCTTTAAAATTCGTTGTAAAGTAGGCTGAGCTCTTATTATAACTTTCAAAATAGCCATTCCAGAATTTTGGCCACCAGATGTATTTATATCCATTCTCGCAAGTCCACAGCTCACAACCTCACGACTGAAAGAAAACAATTTTTAAAAATAAAACCATGATTAAGTCTTACACTTTTCTTTTTTTTATATAAATAAAAAATATTTGGTGAAGACATTAATTGAAAAATATAAGGATTTAATAAAACAGGTTGTGTCGGGTATTCTAAATAGCTCTAAAGAATTAGCTTTGTTGATATTCTAGAATACTCTAAAGAACAAACTAGACCTTGAATAATGTTAAAATTTAACTAAAAGAGAAATAAAAAACAAAATAGCAATGAAAATACAATTTAATACCTTTGATTGTAGGCTAGAACTTGCTTTTCATTCAGTAATTTTAATTTTACTAGTTCTGTAAGTATTGCTTCGATGCAGTTTGAAGAAGCTGGAGAATCCATGAGATCAATAAGAGGTACAAACTGGAGAAGAAGTTGAATTGATTGAGCTACGTCTTCATTGTAGTCACCGTCACCTAAGAAAATATTAAGTCAATATAGTATTATAATGCTATTATAATTATTATAGTATTATAATGCTATTATAATTATAATGCCTTCAAGAACCATTTTATGATAAAATAAGTCGATAAGGTTAATACTAACTGGAAGAAATTATATTAGATCCGGTCAAGGCAAACAGTATCTGTGGAAGTTTTAAAAATGTGAACGCGCCCCATTTAGACTCTTCGTTGTTAGTTCCTAATACGTTGTTGAGGCTCATCAAACAAGCTCTTATGATTTCGCAGCACAATCTAGCGATTTTATAACCCTGAAAAATAAAATTCACATCTCATAATTTTAGAAAAAGTTTTAATTATAGAATTTTGGAATTATAAAATAAGATAGTTATATTAAAATATATCAAGCAATTGTAGATAAACATCTCCTCCAAAATTTTTTTCAGGCTTGACACCAAAGTCAAAAAAAATTAAAATAGAATTTAAAACTCATCAACACACTGAATCAACTAGCTTTCGTTTGTAAGGTTTTATTTGTTTGATAATCCATTTGCCAAAAATGGAATGTTTCACGGTAAATCTACATATTTTCCTTATTGGAGAATCAAGTTACTATAACTGCAGGATTTATCAACAAATGAATTAAACATTATCATCCTAAATTAAACTAATAAGTTTTAACTCTAAATATTTGATTGGATATAATATTTAAAGATATTAAACCTTAAGTCTCTGAAGTAATCTCAATTGATTAGCAAGTTCATTAGTATCTACGCTCGGATTCAGCATAACTTGAATAGCAAGTAGAGCTTGAATGCAATACGTCAAAGGTTCTGTATTATCTATTTCTCTTTCGTTGAGATTTGTCAAACTTGTAGTGCCCAATTCAAGATGGCAAAGCTTTCTGCAACAAACGGAAAAAACAATTAATTTAATTTTAATAGCATAACAAGGAATAATAGAACCAAAATTTAAAATTACATAAAACTGGATTTAATTTATTTAGCATATCTATCTCATTCATACGATATGTAAATGTAATAACTTCACAAAACAATTAGAATTATAACAGTTTCTATAGAAGAAAAAATATGATTATTATGAATAAATAACATAACGATTTATCATAAAGTATAAACAAAATGGTATAAAAATATAAACTGTAAAGGAAAATTAAATTTTAACTTACGATAACAGTTCTTGTATAGGAGCAACAGTAGCAAGGGTAGGATTTTGTAAAATGACATCTTCAACTTCATGGCATTTCCGAACGACGTCACTATATAAAACTGCAAAATAAAAATAATAGAATTTTAATATTCTAAATTTTAGTTGTATAACAATTAATTATTAAATGAATTAATGTCAAAGGAAGACAACAAAAGATGAGTAATTTCTTCAAACGAGTAAGCCTATTAGAGAAAATGTGCCTTAATTGCAATGTTTTAATTTTCTACTGAGAAACTGAGAAGTTTTACAAGCATTTGAGAACTCTCAATATAAATATAAAGGTTACCTTAATGTAAATATAACATAAGAGTAAGTGTAAATGTAAACAAAATAACTTCAATAAAAGCAATCTTAATATTTATTATAATTAAATAAAGCATTAAAATATAGTCGTTAAAGGAAAAACTCGTAAATTTAATATATTAAACGAGAGAAAAAAATATAGTAATTAATTGTTTCAAATAATATATCGTACCATCTACGGTTTTTACTTTCAGTTGCTACCAGATAAATATTTTAAAGTATTATTACTTTATTATGAGCACTAATGACAAATGATAAAAAAACCTAGTTTTAATCAAAGTAGGATGGTAAGTGTAAGTTGTGTGTTGCGCCCACTGCCCACCCATATTTTTTAAATTCATTTTGTGTTGCTTCTATCCTGCAAAGCCATTGAGAACACCTTTAATTTACCACCCTGTTAAATAAATTAAATAATAAATAAATTAAGATTGATACCTTTATCATCATGTTTGGCCAAATACAACATGGCTGTTAGAAAATCACAATTTAGCATGTAGCCTAAAATTGATGCAGGTTTCTGAAGCATATCGTTATGAGATTCGGGTGAAGATATCGCAGCGTGATGATAGCACTGAAGCAGCCAATGAGCGAGGCTCAGGATCGCACTAGCGAGGATGCCCTCTTCAGGCTTGCCACGGCACGTGATACCACTCTAAAAATAATGATGCATTTCATTAATTTAATCAATAATAATGAATGTCATTAATAACTTAAAATATTTTGTTAATATTAGTAACCCACAATAATAGGAATTACGTAGAATGGAAATCGTCAAGAGTAGACAAATTCAAATCTCTTGGCTCCACAATAACCTCAACGTATGACCAATGGTCAAAATAGACCAGCATATAACAAGCGAAAATAGAGCTTTCTTGACCCTTTCAAAATTATCAAAATCCCGAAAAATGTAAAGAAATCTCAAATTAAGGTTGTACATTGCTACGATAAAGCCAGTTTTAGTATTTGGCTGTGAGCCATGGATATTAACCACCACCCTAGGAAAAAGTATTGAAAGATTTGAGAGGAAAATTCACCCCACGATAACCTGAGCGATCTGAGCTCAGAATAATAATGCATGGAGGAGAAAGACCAATAAAGAGCTGCTTACAGAAACTGGTCAATTAATATCTCTTGATATGAAGAAAAGGAGGTTAAGATGGGGTATCCATCTGGAAGTCTCTATACGGCAATGAATATCAATAGAAGGCAAAAGACCACGTGGAAGACCAAAAAGCAGATAGATAGATCGAATCAACAAAAATGCAATAGAGCTGTACACAGATTGAAATCAGTGACCCAGTGACTTATGAAGTCCCCAGCGTTTCCACCCATTTTTTTTTTTTTAAATTTTCCTTTCGGTCAGTCAGATTTTCCTTCCCCCACCCTCTCAAAACGTGGGGGGACTTAAAAATCCCTTCCTCCCAAAAATAATACGCAATATTATATGTAAATATTTGTTTTGTTCATATTATTAAAAAAATAAATCAAACTGTGTTTAGATTAGACTTTGATTGATAAATATTGTTTTCCCTTTTTTCTCTCCTAACCTTGGAATTTCCTCAAAAAGGGAACTTTATCACCAAAATGGAAACCCCGGACGTTCTCTTGTTAGTAAAACTTATTTCTAAATTATTTTAAAACTATAGACAATTATCTCATTAACTCACCTGAATACCTTCAATAAATTCGAGAAGACAGTTAACACAATGTGGTTTGTGAAAACCATCATATTTTGCAATTCGCTGTAGCACCGCTGCATATGAAACAAGCTAAGAACAGAAAAGAATAATTTTAATAATATTAAAATAAATCTGTTATATCAAAAAAGTTGTTAATTATTAAATTATTAAGTTATGTTAAATTCAAGTCCATATGAACTTGCCCATCAATACTATTCAGAATACGAAATAAATATTATCCACACTATATAAAATACGGTAGTATAAACCCCTGTTTTGGCTCTCAGGAGCAATGGGTTTTAATAAACAAAATTAGGGTATCTATGTCCCATATATAAAAAATTATGCACAAACTATAGAGGTATCTGTGTTACCAGTTTTTTTATGAAACTCCTGGGACAAATTGTCAAGAGTAGGTTAGGAAGGGAATATGAGGATACAGAAGAACAAAGTGGCTTTACTGCAGCAATATCATACATCGATCATATTTTTACAATAAGACAGATTTTCGAAAAACACTTAGACAAATTCAAAGATGTGGATTGTCTCTTTATTTATTTACTTTTGAGCTCAAATATACAGCCCAGTACAAAGAGGCTAATATACAAGGCTATATTCGAGCCAATAAAGACATATGCCTTGAAGACATGAGTCATTAACGCAAGGCACCGGAAAAGACTGTTAGACGTCGAGATGGACTTATGGAGAAGGGTAGAAAGAAAATCCAGAAGGGAAAAAATAAATAACGAAAGAATTTTGGAAATGATGGAAGTGGAAACAAACATTATGGCAAATATTGAAAAGAAAAGATTATTCTGGTTTAGACATATGAAAAGAATGACGCCTGAAAGATTAAGCAGACCTTACATGGTCATTCGAAATGGCATTCTGCTTGATTGTGTAAGGTTGTGATTCAAGTACTGATGGATTTACAAAAATTTGGAAATCAAAGGTTCAATCACGAGTAGTGAAGGTGAGACTAACCTTACTACTACATAGCTTAGTTTACTTAGGTCACTTATGGTTATCTGCAGTTATTGCAGCCTCTAGACGTATATACTTATAAATCTGTGCCTCAGATGTAAAGCACACCATGATCATTTTAAAATAATTTAGTAACTAAGAAAACTGTGGCTTCTGATTATAAAAAGGTTCTGCAACAGTAGAATAGACTATCTTTATTAATATTATATTGCATATACGAAATAAACATGTTTCGCGTATGTCGTTTATAAGTCTATTGCATTAGAGATTTTGAATTAAATAGCTGTCTAATGTGAGAGTTCTTTCTAAGGTATACTAATATCTAATAAATACAAAATTATATATTATTATATACACTCAGATAATAAAATTCAAATATCTTGATACATTACCTGCGCGCTAAGAGAATGCTTGAGGTAAGACATAACCAGTTGATTTGGACCAGGACCGACCAAAGCCTGCTGCAGAATGCAATCGGCAAGATTATAAACATCGCCACTCACACCCCTCGGTAAAATCTATAAAAAGTATAAACATTGAACCTATCGATATTAATTCAATTGAATAATATAAACTATAGACAAAAAAAATATATATAAAAAAATTACAAGCTGATTTAAAATTAATTACCAACAATTTTAATATTGATTAAACATTAGTTAAGTTCACAATGTCATATTAATTTTTTTTTATAATTGCACGATGAAATGCTATCCTATACAATAAATATTATTATGAATGAATAACAATAACAATATTGTCTTTACATACAGTTAAGGTAATTGTACAGTAATAGGCAGTTTTCATCTCATTAACAGATAATACAGTTATAAGGTTTAGGAATGTGATGCCTAAATCTCAAGTATGGCATAATAGCTGATTGGTGATTGATTTTTTATTTTTTTTTTTGTGAAGCTAAGCTGGTGTTTGTTTTATTCATCTATAGTTTGCTATTTCTTAGTTTAAAACTTAGCAGAATTTATTTTGACTTTAATCTTATTAATTTATATTATTAATTATATAAAAAATATATTGACCCTTGAAACCTGAGTGTCTATTACTGGTGCAATATATGCTGTCAGAATTTTTTATGTTTTACATGAACTGACTGTATACAGAGCGTCTTAATGGTCAAACTCAAGGTTCTGATTTTAGACAAAATTTCCAACAAAAAAGCAGTTGAGACCAATTTTTTGCTTTTCTTAAAGTAGTTACGGTTTTTATTCAATAAGAAGAAACTGCTCAAAAACTGTTCAAGATTCTAAGTACACTACTGTAAAATAGACAATTTTTTTTTTTTTTTTTGAGAAAACAGTGATTAAATTTACTAAAGTCAATGATATAAAGGACTTTCAGGATTTTCTAATACGACCTCTGTACACAGATGTGCTGCTCGTTTATGGGAACTGTAACTGTAGTAGTACAGCGGTCGTATTAGACCTCCTGGAAGTCCCTTTTATCATTGTCGTCACTAAATTTAATCACTGTTCTCTTAAAAACATTTTGTCTACTTTACGATGGTGTACTGAGAATTTAATAATCTTGAACAGTTTTTGAGAACTTTCTTCTTATTCAACAAAAAACGTGTCTACCTTAAGAAATACACAAAATTGGTCTTAACTCTTTTTCCATTGGGAATCGGCCCATGCATCAAATGAGCTTTTTGTTGGAAATTTTGTCTACAGTCATCCTCCCTCTCCCCGAGTTTGGCCATAAAGAATTGATACACCTTATAAAAAAAAATTAATAAAAGATTAAATTTGCTATAAACCAATCCAAGATTGACCATGCATCAAAGAGCTTTTGTTGAAATTTGTCTACAGTACTCCCTCCGAGTTGGCCATAAAGAATTGATACACCTTATAAAAAAAAATTAATAAAAGATTAAATTTGCTATAAACCAATTTGCAAAGATTTATTATCATAAATAAAGCTATGGTTCACATTAATGTTGAAAATTTCGCTTAAAGTGTCTATTAGAGCTACTATTACCCCGTAATGTTTTTTTTTTTTTTCTAATGCATATTAGTTAAAGAAGGAGGATGATGTAAATGTTTTAATTTAATATTTTAAAATGTTATGAAAAAGTTTGGGGGAAAGTGTTATTATCCAGGCTAAATCATCTCCGAGCATTATTATTAGTATAGTAGCGGGTTCACGATTTAATTTATTCAATTTTTATAATGGTAACTACGTGGAAAGAAAGTATATAAAATGGCTTTTAGGGATATAACGAGTGCTTACATTTAGTATGGATTTATTATTACATTAAATATGGAAAGTAGATTTAATGAATTCTTGAAGGAAGTTAGTCGACTGTTCTACATATCATGGGTGATAAATATTCAGGACGCAGTCTTTTTTAAATTTTTGCCAACTTTATTTTTGACCGCTAATTATAAACTATAGTGGTGGCACTATAAATCAATATAAATTGATGGCACTAGATTCATGTACCATCAATCACAATAGTTTATTATTTATAATTAGCGGTCGTATACTATTATATCTCTGATTGTAATTTTAAAAAACATTTGCAGCCCTGAAGATGACCCACATGTTTGGGTTGAAACGGCAAAAATAAAAAAAAAGACTGCTCCTGAATATTTATTACCCATGAAAGTAGATTTAAAATACCTTTTGATCTATTTGGCAAAAAATAAGATAAATTCTTCAGTCTTCATTTAGAGTTCGATTGAATTGAATATTTTCATTAATTATTATGTAGGCTTTTAAACTATATTCAATTTTTTTCAAAACTTAAAAAAAAATAAATAAGAACTAGTAAAACAAAACATCTGCATTTTTAAGTGTTAGAAAGTTATCAATTTCCTACTTTAATTCACAAAAAAAATTCGGTTTATTTTTTTTTTAAAGCGGCACGAGTGCGCTGTAGCCATCTAGGCCTATTGTACACCTCTATTAAAGCCACTCCTGTTTAGAGCGTAATTTCTGCAGTCTCAATGAACTGAAATAAGCTTGTTGGATTGATGAAATCGTTTGCCTTGGGATCAATCATCCTATCAATGCTGAATGATCATAATCTTAGTCCTGCAAACCTGCCGCACCAGCAAGTAATGTGGTAAGCTGTTTCATCCTCCCGGCCACAGTACCTACAAAGAGATGACTCCGTGAGCCGCAGATTGAACATATGATAATTCGGCTTACAGTGTATAGTATATACCGTTGTAATTTTCTTAAGTGAGCTCCTGCTCAGATTAATTATTAGGTTACTTCTTTTTTGATAGATTCCTTCCAGGTGCAATCTAGAGTGAGTCTGTTTTTTTTTTCAAGGACCAGTTCTTTTTAGCTTCAACACCATAAATCTCCCTAATTCTGTTTTTTATTTGACTAATTCCACAGATGGATTCAGGCGCTATAGGAATCTTTTGTGAGCCTAGTCTGGCTAAGTTCATCCGCTATCTCATTACCATGTATTCCAGAGTGTCCCGAAACTCATTCAATGTTTATCTTATTAAGTCTGGTTAATTCGCTGTTTACACACTATGTTTCATTTGATTAGATTTTTATTTCCAAAAATACTTCAGTCTTCTAAAACACTGGACTCCTTAACCCTCAGACAGTATTCGTCTTTCGCGAAAGAGTGGTTGGTATGTAGCTAATGAAAATCTTTGAGATAAATTATTACATTAAAGATACTTCCAATACATCCTGACAAGAACATTTATTCTAAGTTTGTAATAAAATGGTAATTTTATTTTTAGTTATTTGGCAATAATAACTTCCAATTGGTGAAACATCCAAGCAATTAGGAACTAGAATCTCGCAACGAAAAGTATAAAATTACAGCATAAATTCAAATTTAACAAACCACAGATAATAGGCACAGAACCAAAAAACACCAATAGGAAATTACTTGAAGCAATACACATCACAAAAAACAATAGAACGACAGTCAACTACAAAACAGACACTAAACATTTAGGAACTCATTATACGGACATATTGAACAAAATTAAAATTTAACAGAAGTAAATTACAGATACATAAAATAAACATGAACAACAATAATAAAAATAGCCAGATAAAACAGTCAGATCGAAAGGTCAATTTTTTCACTATGGCAGATACCCAATTATTTGTCAAAAGCAGGATGTTCCTCTAGATGATACATTTTAGAACATGAATTAGAAATTTGACGATGGAGCACATTATTATTGATTTTAAGGTAATTACAAATTTATTGTAACAACAAAATTCAAACATGTAATGTAACAAGCACAATATTATAACTAAAAAACAAAAAAAATTTTAGCCTTGCATCCACAAGATAATTGGGAACGCAGTTCCGAAGATGGGAATAAATATCCCGAAACGTCAACTAACTTGTTAACATGTAACGTTGATAATAGAAATATACTCAATTGTTACCAATTGGAAGTTATTATTGCCAATAACTAAAAATAAATAGACAACTTCCCAGAAAAAAGAAAAAAGGTAATTTTATTGTTTATTTAATTTTAGATAATACTCTAGATATGACTTTTAACACATCTCAGCACAATTTCCATAGTTGTTACTTATTAAGAGATAAATTGTGGATTGATGGTTGACTAGTGAATAATTGAAGAGAAGAATGGTCGGAGTGATCAGTCACAAAAGAAACATGTAAAAATTAATAAGTATATTTATTTTTTATTTATGCCGACGTTTCGGCCCAAACTTCAGGCTTTCATCAGGACTAAGAAAAAAACAGATAACAATAGGTATGAAAAACTATTAACATTAAAAGTTTAAAAAGAAAAACCAATATGTAGGTGAAAGTTATAGTCTAAAAAATGTAGGTAGAATTAACTTAAAGTAAAATAAAGTCGGCAGAAAAGACATGAAGTAAAACGAAGAGGTAATATAAATTTAAAAGAAATATAAAATAACGGTAACAAAGTTAAGGGTAGAAAAGAGCGGAAGTTAGGATATATAACATAACGGTAACTAAAAAAGATAAAAATATAACTAAAAAACGGTAGCATAATTATGTATAAAAAGTAACAGAGAACTATGAAATAAATAATGAGAGCAACGAAGTAGGCACTAATGAAATTAAAAAAAAAAGTAAGTGTATACAAAAAACAAATGGGGTGACATCACTAGCGGATCCAGGATTTAATTTTGGGGGGGGGGGCTTCAGCCCGAAAGCTTTTTTTTTTCATAAAAGTAACGATAATTACTTTGGAAAATAAGAAAGAAACTAAGTACCTATATGAACTGGTGTTTAAGCGATTCCTAAAGCCCTTTTAAATGTAATTACACGAATAATTATACTTTAAGAGATAATTTTTTAATATTTTTTCCGATAAAACATGGTTATATTTTACGATTTTGGGGGGAGGGCTTCAGCCCGAATTAAGTTAATATGCGCTGTAATGACTGGCAAGCATCCGAGGGATAGACTAAAGCGAAGGTGGGTGGATTGTGTTAAGGCTGATTTGGCAGGGTTGGGTTTAGATGAAGCCCAGAGGATAGAAGAATGGGGACATCGATAGGTGGTATCGACATTGAATCTTGCGATTTGCTAAGCCTTATTATTTATTATTATTATTATATATATATATATATATATATATATATATATATATATATATATATATATATACACATTGATTACCAGTAAAATAACTGGAAGAAACTTAATTAACAAGTTATGTATTAATACCAGAGATGAGCAAATGCCACTCCGAGTACTGAATACCAAGTATTTTATCCAAATATTGAATATTTTGTTGAGGGTCAAAGAATTTAATTACTACTTTGGTTCATTTCAAACGATTAACTGAAGTACTGATTGAATTCTCAATAGTGATTAAATTCAGGTAAAATACTTGGTACTATGTATTCAGAATAGCATTTGCCCATCTCTGGTTAATACTAATACGTTTCTAGTAAATGATTTTAAATAATCCTTAAACTGTTATCTATCTACAGATTTTAAAAGCAATTATAATTCCTTAACTGTATTAACACTTAAAGAGAGATATTTATGAAAAATTAAAATTAGAGATCTTTAAGGAGTTATTTACCTCCTGGCTACAGATATTATTTTTAAAATATCTAACTGCCTTTTAAAACATAGGCATTAAAATCCCTACTCAACTTAATTCATTTGATGCAATTAATCAATATTTAAAAAATAAATTATTATTAAGAAGCTGTCATACAACTCAATGTCTTAAAATAAAATTATCTATAGTAAAAAATAATAACAACTACTCACTGTTTTAATGTGGATTCCCCACTGCAGATCGGACCACCTTTCCTTCCAGGCACGAAGCAGTAGAGCTTTAAGGCTGCTTGTCTTGCTAGTAACTTTGCTGCTTTCCATTGTAACACCCATAACTAGAAACTGAACATGTGTTTAGTCTGGCACAATCCAAGCTTGGCACACCGCACACCATGTCCACAAACTCAAACCACTACACTTCACTAATAAAATCACTACAAGATGAAGAAAATGCACTATCTCCATAGAAGATTGGGAAACTTGATCAAATGATATGTTGACAACTTCGTAGTTAGTCCAGGATTTATGTATGATAATGAGAGCTGAGAGTAATTGTGGTCTTGCCAGAGCGTTGTGGACATAATGTTTGGCGCCGTTATTGAATATATAATCTATGTATATAAATATATTATATTTACAAATTTAGTCTGAAATGTTTCACAGATAAATAATGATGTTTCATTTGGGTCAATAAAGGGATGTACTAAATGATAATTAATTTGGTATTGGATTATGTACATATGACTATTGCCTGGCGAGGCTAAGCATGCTTCCCGAGATACTATCATCATCAGGATAACAGTCTGATGATGAATCTGCAATGGCTAAGGCCGATAATCCCATACGGGCAGATTCTTCATCAAATGCTTCCAGCTCTCTTTGCTGCCTCTCAAGCAATAGTCTTATTCTTTCAACTCTCTCTGTTGCAACTTTGTCAGTTTCAAGCTGCATTTTTTGTTCTAAGAGAGCACGCCTCAGAGTAACCCTATCCTCGAGCTCCTTTCTTTCTCTATTTCTCTGAGCTTCGGTTTGCATTCTATTTTTGCTCTGGTAAGCCATTAAAATCTCAAGCTCATAATGTAGCCTTTCTTGAAGATGATGACCCTCGAGTTCTTGCGATTCGTCAAGCCTAATAGATTGCTTTTGCAACATTTCAGCAATGCTTTGCTCATACTGATCAGCCAAAAGAGCTAACTTTCTTCTCTGCTCTTCCTTCAATTTCTTTATAACTAACTTGTGTTCTTCTTTGGGTCTAGTACTAAGTAATTCTGCTTTAAGTGCTTTATATTGTCTTGTTTGTATTTTACAAGTTTCCCTAAACTGTTTTCGTATTTGCATTTCTTTTTGTTTTAGACTCTTTGGTTGTTGTTTTACTTCTAGTGCATGTTTTTTCCTGAGTTCTCTTTTACATCTACTTAAATATGCATTTTGGTTTTGCAATTCAGTTTGATGCTGCCTCTGAACTTGTTCCTCTCTTAACTGATGCACAGCCTTCTGTTGTCGATATTCTAATTCCTTAGTTTTTTCATGATGCCGAAGCAGCATTGAATGAGCTTGTTCCAATTGTGTTTGACGTTTGTTTAATTCTTCTTTCAAAAGCTCCTGCTCTAAATTTTGAAACCCTAACAACTTTTTTCTTTTGAATTTTCTCATTTCAATATCTAAATATTCTTTCTGGCCCTGGACTAACCTCTGTTCTTCTTGAGCTTCCATCTGCTTCAAAGTTTCTTTTTGCGATTGAAGGGCTGCGTCCCGTTGTCTTTTCGGGGTGGATTCGTCTAAACTTAATTCATGTTTCCACCTTTCTTTATTGGCTTTATATTCTTTCTTCTTTTGAGAATCAAATGCTTTTCTATCTTGTTCCTGTCTGCCACTTATTTCTTTTTGTAATTTCTTCTCAGCTGCAGAATTTTGTTTGCTCTTCTTTTCAAGTTCTTGCTGGTGACGTAATTGCAGTTCTTCTAATTCTTTGCTAAATTTTTGCAACAAAACTTCATACTCCTTATCTAATAGCTGCTTATGATTTTCCATTTCAACTTTGCATTTTTCTTCAAGTTTGATAAGGGCTCCTTGATGTTCACGCCTCATTCGCTTATAACCAGACATCTGTTCATGCATCTCTTCTTGCATGTGTTCTTTTTGTTGCTTAGTGACGATGGTAGTGGTTTTAATTGTAGCAAAGTTGTTAGCACCGTGTTCCAACAGAGCGGATGAACTGCTTGCCTTTTGGCGCACCCTCATTGAATGAGAATAACTGTTGTCATGATTCATGTCTGTCACAGGAGGCAAACTGTTGGTAGAACTACTTTGAGAAGATGCACTAACACCTATCGAATGAATAGAATGCTCAGAAGTAATACTATTACTTTTGCTACTATCACCCCCAGCTTGCTCATCTGGAGTATCATCTGCATCTCCAACGGTACTTTCACTTTCACAAGAATCGATCATAAGAATTTTCATTTTCCTATAATTCTGATTATCTAACTCGCGCACTGCTGCTTTAGTTCTTTGTATCAAGTCAATGAGAACATGAGGAGACCTATTCCTAGAAACAAGCTGATGTGATAATAATTTGTTAGCAGAAGGCCTATCTGATGGATTTTTCTGTAAGCATGACTCAACAAAATGTTTGAAAACATCAGACCATTCTGATGAATTTAGGGAAGGTGTGTCATTTTGAGCAATATGATATAAAGCACTCATAGCATTCATGTTAAAATAGGGAGGTTTTCTTTCAGCCAATTCTATACAAGTAATACCTAATGACCAGACATCAACTTTCCCATCATACTGTCCTTCATCCATAGCCAAAATAACTTCAGGAGCCATCCAATAAGGAGTACCAACAAAACTGTTTGCAGGACATTTTATACTAGCTGAACCAAAATCAGCTAATTTTACAGTTCCATTTTCTGTAAGTAAAATGTTACCCGCCTTAATGTCTCGATGGATCCTCCCTAAACTATGAAGATAGTGAAGACCCCTTAAGACACCCTCACAAATAGCAGCTATCTCATCTTCCTTCAATGGTCTTTTATGGACTTCAATGATATCAGAAGCAGAACCTAAGCAATATTCCATAACAAGCCAAGCAGTATTATCCCGAAGGTAACAACCTTTATACTCAACAGTATTGGGATGATTGAGCTGTCGTAGAAACCTAATTTCTTTCAATATATCTTGCCATTTTTCATTACTTTGCTTTCCTTGATATGACATCTTCTTAATAGCCACAATCTCCTTGGTAACATAGTTTCTTGCATAATATACTGCTCCGAAACTTCCATGGCCGATTTCTCGAAGGTCTTCAAAGATTTTATCTGGGTCTTCCTTGTCAAATAGTTCAGCGATTTCTGGATCTTTCAAGCTACCCGGCCTAGGAATAGCAGGCATTTTCTTCTTTGGGTATATTTGTTTCAAGATACCGCAAAAGACAGCATTTATCTTCGCCCTCCAGACATCTGTGAAAATCAATCTAGTACATCCCAACTCAAAACATTACTTAAAAGAAAATTCTAACATATTACATATAAAGATGCTTCCCCTGCATCAACATTCTACACAGCCATTATCAGAAAAAAAGTTTCATTAAAAACCAGCAAATGAAAACAATACTGACAAATCACACCAGGAATTTTGAATTTGTCAGATGACTTGAAAGCTAAGAACAGGACAATACAAATGATGAAAGGCAATAATTAAACAGAATGGGAAGTTAAACCGAGAAACTTAAGAGTAAAAGAATTTCATATACTTAAAAATTGATCATTATGGTAATTGCAAAGAAAAGATTACGAAAAGATAAGCTTATTCTACTTTTGAGTGGGCACTACTAATGGAGTGGGGAGAGGCCAATGGGCTATCCATTGCTCTGCTTATAAGCCTTTATTACGAAGAAAAATTAAACTTTAAATGTTGTAGAATGGTGGATAAATATAAAGTGTCCTAGTTGCCTACAGGAAAGATTTAAGAAGAAATACTATCATTTGTGTTTACCTTTGGAATGGGCTAAAATCTAACCTTTGTCAACATCTATAACTAGGCATTTAAACCATTTAAAGGAATAAAACTAATATCACTAGAACGGCACGTCTACACTAAGAAACATTTCTTCGCTGAGGAAGCAACTCTACCTCAGCCTAAGTCTATGTACAAATATGTACCTACAAACAATTCGATAACACAAGAAATGGAATGGCTAGCTGTTTTATCCTTTCTTAACGATCTTGTAGTTGTTACCCATAGATGTCAGCACTAATCAATTATTTTAGAAATATATCTAATTTTAAAATTTATTTCATCGTATTGATGAATAATAAATTTCTAAAAATATTTTAAACATTTCGCTTTGTAATTTCTAATTTCTAACTTAATCAAAATAATGATTAGATACAGATACCCCAATTGAAGTCTACACGTAGTAGTTGTCAACATCGGCATTTATTAGGGAGGTTTTACTCAATATTGACGCCTGTTTTCCTAAAATAAGTGTATTTATTAACAATTTTAGATGGATTTCTTTAGAACTATACCAGTTCACATGGTAATTCTCATTTCCTATTGATATTTGTTTAATATATCCTTTAATAGTTCTGTTAATCTAATGCTCTTTGCTTGATTTTTAGGACTTTGAGGGCCAGTTTAAAGCAGAAAAGCTTTCAAGAATTATCATAACTCTATTCGGGGTCAGTATTTAATCATTAATTTCTTGCATTAACATTTTTTAACTTTTGAGCATTTTCAGAAATGTATACCCACATCAATATTGAAATTTTTGATAGTTCCCCGCAGAATAGTACCATAACTCCTTGATGAAGTACATGTTACTTGACTAAAAAATATATATAGCTGTTAACAGAAAGCAATACCATGTTTGTGACTATTGATTACTCTACATGAAATAATGCAGTGGAGTACCTGGAGTAAAAATGAATTTAAAGGACCCCACTGATTATTACTCTCATGCTCCATCATTCCATATTTTATTTACTATCTGGCATCAATCCAGAGAAAAACCCCTTATAGCCTTAAAAGGGAGGATCGACAAAAAAAAAAAAAAGATAACCTGGTGTAAATATTAATCAGGTGACTATTCAGCTAAAATAAGGTTGAGAATTCAGTTCCAAAGGCATATTATTGAGAGCGAATAATCTAATGATGTATTTGACATTTAATTTATGACTTCAATAATAACACAGTTTTTAAAACAAATGTTTGTCAGCAGTTTGAGCAAAAGCAAGCAGCTCTTTTTCAAAATGCTAAAAATTTATAGAAGGTGACAACGTAAAGTAGTAAATGAAATTAATTTGCTGATGACCAATATTAAACATTTTTCTTATCAATGTTTTTATGTAATAATGATACTGCATTAAAGAGATAATTGTTTGGGTTGTTAATTATCATTAAGAACATACAATGGTGGTCGAATTCTAATAACAGATCAACAATGCAAACTTTCCTAAGCAGTTCTCAATAATCAGTTCTTAATGGAGCGGGATGGCTGAGTGGACTAATGCGTGTTCACTGTGCATCGTCCAACAACCCGATCAAAGATCATTAGATAAAATAATTACTAATTCCCGTCCTGGGATAAGGGAGGAGCCTATTAGACGGGGAAGGCTTCTCCAAAAAAAAAAAAAAAAAAAAAAAATCAGTTCTGAACAATTCATTATTATTAAAGTTTAACATTACAAAATCAACAAAAATAATATTAAACTCATAAAGCCTTGCGAAATATTTACATGGCCTACGAAAATTGTATTCTCTTCCTGTTCGCATGTTATACATTCTTCCCGAAAATTGGGACTTTTTAAAAATGGTATTAATTGTTAAAAATCGGGTCCCATCAAGATTCCCATCAATCTGGTCACCTTAGGTATCACTCTAGTAGTCTTGAGTTAGAAGTAGTGCTGGTACGAAATCTGGGCATAGGTCGGTTATGTGCAGATACTCCATCTCTCCTAGAGGCCGTGGTGGTTGAGTGTTGAATCATTGCACACTTTATCATTTTCAAAGGTATGGGACCGTTCGAATCCAGTCTGAGTGGATTGAAATTTATTTTGTGACAGACCCACAGAAGGAATCTCTACCTTACCCTACCATTTTGTATAGATTTTGGTCGTACCTCTCAAATAACCCCCCTACCATCTCCTATTATCTTAGAAATGTCTGGAGGTAAAGTAAAATAAATAGATAAAAGTCCATATTCCCTTCCCTAGTTGGATTACAAAAGGATATGGAGCCCAGATAAAGAAAATTTAAAGAATCTTAGAAAATACAAATTTCCTGACTCAGTAAATTATTTGGTACTTATCCAGTAGCGGGTAGCGTCAAAACCTCCCTTATCTAATCTCATTTTAGATAACCTCCCTTATCTCATCTAACTTAAGTTATTCTGTTGTTTAGTTTTTGTTTCTTGTGCCAGGTGTGAGTTTATTTAATTATAGATCTTGTTACATTCTGGGAATTGCCGTCTTCAGAAGAAGAGGCTATCAAATATTTTCAAGACGTCGGTATATTTGATAAGGTGAAATATTGTGATGAGGGTCATAAAATGAAGTTCGACGGGAAGATTAAATGGAGATGCTTTCGTAGGTGTAACAAAACCGTTTCTATAAGGAAAGGAACGTGGTTGGAGGGTCGAAGATTTGTTTTTTAACGGCTTTAAAATTCATTTATGGGTGGTCCCATAATTTAACTACAATACAGTGGGGGAAAGAGCAGGTTAAACTATCCATCGGAACTGTTGTAGCATGGAACAAATTTTTAAGAGAAGTTTATGCCAATGACATGTTATACAGGTCGAATAAAAAAATTGGAGCTCCTGGCAAAGTCGTTGAAGTAGACGAGAGTCTTTTTTCGAAAAGATAAATCATGTGGGGAGAGTCCTACCTGAGCAATGGATGTTTAGCGGAGTTTGCCAAGAAACAGACGAGTGTTTTATAGTTAAAATAAAGGATAAAAGCATTTTGTTATTATATAAAATAAAAGCATTCATAATGTTTTTTAATTATATATTTATAATGTTTTGGTCTATTTTAATATATACGTTGTAAAATAAAAGCATTTTGTTATTATTACATTTGTTTCTGTTTTTGTCACAACTTCAATAATATCAATACAATACAATAAATATGAATACGAACATATAATAATATGAATATAATACAATAAATATGAATATGAAGAGCTTATCAGTGTTAAGGTTATAAACATTGGCAGATAGCAGTCGGATGCTACCCGCTATTAGATAAGTACCAATTATTTATATTATTATAGGTGAACTACTTAAGGGAACCTTTTGTCATTAGGATAACAATCAATTTATGAATCAGTGCATGAAAGAATTTAAAACAAATTATAATGTTATAAAACATAAGGTTTGAGCACAATTTCCATCAATAAGAGTCTCCCTTAAGTTATTTGTCTGTACTTTCATAGCATATATTTTACATCCAATATTGCATATATTATTGATGCTGCGTTTACTTACCAACAATTTCTATTATTATAGCACAGCCTAAAAACTGTGAAATCTGCCATCCATCATTCCACTTGATCAGTTTTCAACTTCCACCATTAGTTTTAATGATTTGATTTTAGCTTGGCGTGATGTAGTTTAGGACTGATGTGATTCCTGACTCTACATCACTCCAAATATTCATAGTTTTAATCTCACGGACATTCCATCAATCATCCATGGCCACTGTAAATGTTGCTCTGCAATTCATTAAATTGGAGCTTTTTAGACAGCTTGATTTAGTCTATTAAAATATGTAAACATTTTTCATAGCCTATGATGGATAAAAACAAAAAATCATTAATTGCATATTACATGATTTTTAATTAAATGCTAGTAAAATTTAACTTTAAAAATAATTTCAATGTTGACATATTATAATGATAATAAAAATTAATATTTATTTATTGTTTTTTGCAGGTTGTAGGATTTTTTTGGGGTTATATAATTCAGCAGTTTTCTCAAACTGTATATATACTAGGTGCTGGCTTTGCTTTAGCTGCTATTGTAAGTATAAGATATTTTTTTGTTAAATAAATTAAATATTTAAATCTTGGTTTACTTCTTATGGCTCTAAGTTTTTAATTAGTATAATGTCTTGTTGATCAGTTTAAAACTATCCTATTAAAATAGGGCATTTAAAAGAAAAATTATAAAAATATTGGAATCTTCCTTCTCAGATTATTTTATTGATTTTTTTATAAATCTAACTTTGGAGCATTTACTGCGCTTTTGATCACTTTTATCGAATTCTCATCTTGATACTTAAATTAAATTATCTTATTTTCTGCCTTGTGAAAAATTAAACTGCAATGGCCGAATGGATTAGGAACAAGAGATCTTAAATGTGAAGTGTAAGGTTAATTATACATAATGATGATAAGATATATTTATTTAATGATCAATAATGAAGCACAATCAATTTCAGTCATATTTTTATTGTGAAAACTCATTACAACCATTTATAACTGCACAAACTGTATTTATTATATCAACTTAGGCAATGAAAACCTCTTAACTTCATCAGTTTATTTGAACCACATAACTTCAGTCTCTGTGATCTACATACAAAGAGATATTTAAAATCACATATACATATTTAATCTATAAATAATTTAGGATTGTATAGCATAAAATAGATTTAGAAAAATTATAAAATAAATTAAGTAGTCAATAATCAAATGGTCTTTTGCATGAGAATAACGTAATTTATGACACCAAAAACAGGAAGTACAGTAGACTACTGTATAACTAGGTGGTACAGTAACTGGATACAAACAAAATCTTAAGTATATATTTTTTTATATTCCAAGAAAATATATATTTTTAACTACATAAAACTTATTATGTCAAGAGAAATATTATATTAATTTTTATAACTGTATGTTAAGTCTTTATAATCTGACACATACAGGAAACACCAGATTACAGGAGATTTTCTGGATTACAAGGGTTAAAGAAAAAATACATGACTATAGGAATGAAATATAGGAAGATTCTCAATATCACATATAATATATAGTTATAATGATAGATGTATACATATTATTATTTAAAGTACAAAAATAAAAATCACAAAAGGTAAACATTTTATATCATGTATTTGTTTTTATCATGTATTCAAATACAAAAATTATTTTATTTACATTTATATACAACACATTATAGTATAAGAATGATTACATGCTTGTCGTTACAATTAATTTATACGTGTTATTTAGTAAGCAGAAATTGTAGAAAATTTTTAATAAAAATCTATGTAATACATATTATCATGTATTTGTGGCATTTCAAAGTCTAATATTGCAGACTTCACCTGATTACTCTGGTTATGTTCTCAGAACTGATTTCTTTCCAGTTATCGACTTTCAACTCTATTGCATCTTTGGTTAGATCGATCTGTCTGATTTGTGGTCTTCCTTGCCATGGTCTGATGCTTATTATTGAGGCATTCGTTGTTGTTTAGAGGCTTGCTGTTGGATTGCTTTGAGTTGTATGTCCCATCCATCTCCCTCCTTGCCTTCTTGTTATGATATATTGATTGACAAGTTTTTGTAAGCAGTACTTTATTTATACTTCTTATCCATGCATTAGTTCACTAATCCCAGATCACTTTGATTATCATGAGGAGTGTTTTTCTCTCAAATCTTTCAATACTTCCGTCTGGAATGCTGAGTAATGTTCATTTCTCATAGCTGTATGTCAGAAATCTCATTTTACATCCTTAATTTGAAATTTCAATATCTTTCAAAGAGAGAAGAAATCTCTGCACTTGCTATACGCTGTTCTATTTCCGACTGTTGGTCATTCATTGATGTTATTGTGGTATTTGATGTTTTCTACTCTTGGGAACGATTTCCCTTTTTTGCAGATCCTGCTGGATTGGTTGTTTTGTCTTCATTTAGGGTAAATGTACCAATAATAGACGCTGTACCAGTAATAGACAGTTTTCAATTCATTAAAACGTAATAAGCTTTTTACGTCTAAGAGAGTGAAAATACGATTAGATATGAAGCTAGAACACTTAGGAAGGTGATACCTGAACCTCATGTGATATAGTGTCACTATAGCGGATTGGTTGATTTTTTAAGTTTATTTTTTCAATGGAGCAAGGCTCGGTGTTTGTTTCAGAGAGCTTTATTTATCACTTTTCTTCAGGAGATGGGTTTGATGGATTTTTGATTTATTCATCTGTCGTTTGTCATTTCTTTGTTTGAAACTGTGGAGAATTTATGTCGGTTTTTTTTTCAATTATATAAAAAAATTTGTCAACCCCAAAGACTGGGTGTCTAATACAGTTACAAAATGTCAGAATTTGCTAAGTTTTTCATCAGTAATAAACTAATTGACTGTATAGAAAAAAAGACTAAATTTGTTGTCGATTAAATCCATTTGCAAACATCTTTCATCAGAAGTTAAGTTGTGATTCACATAAATGTTGAAAAATTATCTTAAAATGTCTATTGCTAGTACATTAGCATACTTGTACGATTTGGTTTGCTGCTCTTTTGCGAGTCTCTCAATATTTTCTCGATTGCTTCCAAGGACAGATATGTCATCTGCATATCCAAGGATTTTAATTCTAATAATGTTGATGATACGAGAGAAAGCTCAACCAAAGCATACATTTTAGATAGATAGAAAATAACTTTATTCTGGGACACAGTCCCTTGAGAATAACAAAATAGAACATAATTAAAAGATTACATCTGGCCAAAATAAAATCAATAGAAAAAAAAAGAAATAATGTAAAGAAAATATAAGGTAAACATTCTATATACAAAACAAACGAAGCTATATACAAAACAATTTACAATATGACAAGAAACTTAAAGCTATTTACACTGATAGACCAGTACACACTTTTAAGAAAACAATAAAGAATTAAAAAATTAAAATATATTAATTTTTTCATTAAAATAAGCTTTGTGTTTCTGTTGAGAAAACAGAAAGCTGAACATGACAATATGAAGTGCCTGATCAATATATAAATACATTATCATTGAAATGTTAATGATGTTTAGATACATCATCATTTCTTAACATGACAATAGGCAAAATTTAGTGGTGTATAAAAGATAATAGTTATAAACTACCAATAGATGCCAATTCAGTGCCATCAAGAGTAGGAAAGTATTTTAAAAAGTAAAAAGTAAAAAATAAATATTATAATTTATTTTTTGCCTTCCTTTTTTGACTGAGCACCCCAACTATTCTTCTCTTCATTATCCACGACAGTCAACCAATTACCAATTATAAAAGTATTTAAGTGTGGTAAGAGGAAAGATTCCAGTGAACCTCCCAGGTAAAAGCATGTTCTGTAATAAAAACGTTCATTTCTGCTTGCAGCAGCAAGCTTCATCTGATTTCTATCTACATTTCTGTTCTAATATAATTGTCGTTCAATTTTTTCTTTCTTTAATTATTTTTTTATTAACTCCCACACGTGACGTTTCACAAAATATTGGTAAATTAATTTATTGTTATAGGTGACAGTACCCCCATGGCCTATGTACAGAAGGAAACCCCTCCAGTGGCAGAAGCCAAGACCAGAATCAGAACAAGGCGAACCACATCAGAAGCAGAAGAAGAAGAAATAGTCAATTGTTGAAAAAAAGAAAAAATTAATTAAAAAATAATATTTGTATTTAAAGCATTCCATGATACAAATATGTTTCTTGCATTATTGTTGTGTAAGATTATTTGAGTTTTCGCACAAATGAGCTGAAGGAATAAAGGTGCTGTGTTAAAAGTATCTTTTTCCTTCGTTCCGATAATGTAATGTAAAAATTTCATAATATCTAACTTATAAAAATTAAATAAAAAAAGAAGTATTCTGAAATTTTAATGTATTTATACAAAATCTACACTCCTTGCTTTTTTATATTTGAAAATAATATTTGTTTATGGTGATTAGTAATAAATTTGCTTTTCCTCTTACAAGAGATTAGAAATATTAGATGATTTAATTATTTGAAAAAATTTTCTTTTTATTTGTTAAATATATCTATTCATCCAATCCTCATGTACAATTTAATTTTAGGCTCAAATATAAAGTTTGTTTTTGATTTTTTGTATTATTAATTTTAGAATATAATTAAATATTGTATAAAAACCTTATTCTTGGACAAAGTCACTAACAATAACAGAGATGTGCAAACCTAGCCAAAAAAAAATATAAAAAATTTAACCAATATATAAAAAAAAAAAATCTGTTGCGCACAACACAACTTTTACTTACTGCTCTACTTTTAATAGAAATAATTGTATGGCAATGTTGGGCTATTATAAACAATTTGAAATGCATTTTCAGAGGCAAGTTTGTTTACTCTGAATCATCTTTACTCCCCTGCAGGTGATTGCTCAGTAATAGAGGCCCTGTTACCTCAAGACGACTGGAAACAATTAATATTATAAGTTATATTGAATACTTAATAGTTGACCGTTGTATTATTAAGGAAGGTGATGGTCCGGGGTGACGGTCATAAATAGACTAAATAGTGGCAAGACTATTTTATTAAAAGCCAACGTTTCGACCCGACTTTGCAGGTCTTTTTCAGGGAAGTGTCTTCAGCAACGAGTTTCACTTAGAACTACCTTTTCAGTAGAATTTCACTTAGAAACTCCTTACTGAACACACCTTCTTGAAGAAGACCTGCAAAGTCGGATTGAAAAGTTGGCTTTTAATAAAATAGTTTTGCCACTATTTAGTCTATTTATGACCGCCACTCTGGACCATCTTCTTCCTTAATATTATTAGTTCTAATTCTATAATTTTAAAGCATGGAGTAAATACTTCATTAATAATTTTTCGTATTTCCTCATTTACTTTTTTATTAATAAAAATAAGTGATATTCTTTATTTTATTTATTTTTTATGAATATCACTTCAAATAAATGCTTTCTATTATCTTATGTTATCATTATGAATCTAAAGCTATTAGTTTAATTGGGTGTTAATCAGTTTTCATAAAATCTTTGTATAGTTCATTTCGAGAATTTTTTATATTTTTTATTAATAGTGAGAGTCAGGATGCCAGTGCTTACATATGGTTCAGAATTTGGACTATTATTAAAGCCCAAGATCAAGTCCTCAGGTTTGAAAAGAAGGTGCTCCATCGAATATATGGTGGAATGTGCGAGAAAGGAACCTGGAGAAGAACGATTACCTAATTAAATAAAGAATATAAGGAAGTGGATGTATCCACGTTCATAAAATCACCAAGACCTCGCTGGGTTACTCAAGTTGCAAGAATGGATCTGAATGAAATACCTTCCAGGATTTTATTAGAACAAATTTATGGAAGCAGGCAGGTTGGACGTCCGAGGCTTCAGTGAGGAGACTGCGTGGCTGCTGATGTGAGATCTCTGCTTGAGGGAAGAAGGTAGAAGGCAGCAGCTCAAAATACAGAAAACTTGCAGACCGAATACTGGTCAGGACACAGTCAATTGTTTATTTTTTTAAAAGCCAATGTTTTAGTCCAAGCTTGTGGATCATCATCAGGACTGAATGTGTTCAAATACTCAATTTCTGATTAATGTTTATTTATATACATATATATTTTTTTCTTTATCTATTATTGATATGTAATAAAATGGTAAGTACTGTCCTCCCACCATCTACTTTATTACTTAAATGTCATTAATGAACTTTTTTAATGTTAATTGAGTGAGCAATATGATGGTCTGAAATAGGTTTTGTCTGTTCTAGCATACGCTTCTACCCACAACGCTATCTCGCTTCCATTTTGTAATAAATAGATCATAAAATTTCAGCGGTGGGAGTTTTCATGAAATAATAATTTGTAATGTTAGTGCATTTCATTAAATGATGTGCTATAACTTAAACAAAATATTTATAAAAAATAAAAGAAATTGTTCATGACCTTTTCTTATGGAAGATTTGTTTAATATTACAATTATATTTAGTGTAATGGTCATGGATTCTAAATTTTCAGAGCTATTATGGGTTTAATATCTATAAAAATGAAATTCACAAAAATGTTAGCAATTTTTAGGATGAGGTAGGGTAGGATGGTTTTAATATTTTTATCCATTCCGTTGTGTTAGTAAAACAATTTCTACTGTAAAACTACTCTGCAATCTTTATTCACTTTAATTGTCAATAAACTATAAAGAGAAGGAATATAAATAAAAATTTATTGTGCATACATTATATCAAGAAAACAATTGCACATCTTTTAAAACTTCATTTATTTACTTCTTATTTATTACATCAGACAATGTTTCGGGCTATTGTGTTCACCTTCCAAGTTGCCATCTTTTTAATACATTATTTTATTTTTTATATTTATATTAAAAATAAGTCTTCTTTCAAATAGAAAACTTTTTTTCTTGCCAACTTTTTCTTTTAAAGTAAGCCTAATTTAACTTCTAATGGACTATTTTATATAACAATAATTTTTGTAAAAAGTCTTTTGTAGACAATAAAAAAAAAAGGCACGCTATAGTTTCCACTACTTTTATTTATTTATTTTTTTTTTATGACTTCTATGCTAGACCATCACTTTTCTAGTGTTTTTTTCTGTACAATACGTTCATTGAAAACAAATAGGATGTTATTTAATAAATCATATAGCTCTATGAACTGTTATTTTTTAACAATTCTTAAGAACTGTTTAGCTTAGTCAAATTAGACATGTTATCTTGCATGTAGTGAATATAAAAAATCCAAATTTCTGTCCTTGAAAGCCTCACGGATTCATTGCAGTGCTCCAAAAACCATTGAAATTTCGAACTTTTTAAGGTTTACGCTATATATCTCCTTTTTAGGGTGACATAGATAAAAAATCTTAAACGGCTTAAAATTATCTAACTTTTTTTATACATAATATTTTTTTTCTAAACCCAACAGAAAGCAAACTATCGAGCTTTCAAAATTTCCAATTTCGATTTGTTCACGGTAGTATTGTTTCAGTTTTGAATGAAAGAATTCTGTTACTGCATTTTGAACCTCGTTCAGAGAATTTGGAGATTTTCCTTGAAGATAATGAGCCATTGACTGGGAACTGTAGACCGTAGTCGGGAGATGTTTTGAAAAATATGTTACATGGTGGGCCAGACGCTCCTACTGTTCACCGTTCCCCCACCTCCCAATAAATTGCATACAGTTGTGTTCTTCGTAACTATTTATATATTAAAAAAAACCTAATGTTAAAAAAAAAAAAAGTGGCCGCACTGTCCCTGAATGGTGTCCAAACAATAGGGATTCACTACGTTGATTTAAGTTAGTTTTTCAGTCTCTGAAATGCAGCATTTGGCTTAATTTCAACATTATTGGACTTTTATTAAAGCTGAATAATTAGAGAATATTAAAAAATAATAGGTCTTGGCAATAACAAAACAACAGTAAAGTTAATTTTTTAAAGTCATTCAAACTAAAGTTGAACATTATGTGTCTTTTGTCAATAAACGGCCAACAATAACCAAAACGCCCCAAAATAATCTGAAAAATACATTTATCTTTCTGAAACACTTATTATTTTTTAAAATATTTGAAGCAGTTGCATACAGAACACACTTAATCAGCGGAAAAGTAGCCTAGAGTCCTCTGCCACATGATTCAGTACTCATAAATGGCATTTATAGTGTTATAATAACGTTTTTAGTACATTATTTGTTATTGTATAACCGAACAAATATTAATATAATAATTTAATTGTCCAAAACAATTTTTTTGTGAAAAAATCGAATAGTCTTCAGATGGTAACAATCCATAGGATTGTAAATGTATATAATTTGGATAATATTAATTGTTAAAAATGTGTTAAAATAAACTTCATTCATTAGATAAACAGTAGTTTTAGATGACAAATTTCTTTAAAATAAGTGGAAAATAGTAAAAATAAAATTATAAGTTTTTTTAGTATAAAAACATTAATTTATTTTTAGTGATTCGTTTTAAAGTTGTTAAGTTTAGAGAAATATGTTTCTCTATAAAAGCTATATTAAATTGTGTGTGCTTTAATATTTAATTTAAAAATTTGAGCTACGTCACCTATAAAAACAGGTAATTAATTTAAAACAAAAAATTATGCATGTTTTTTGTGAATTTCCAAAACTTTATTCATTTTCAAAGCTCCATAGTTCACTTTCTATTGGGTTTAGGAAAAAACGTTATGTATAAAAATGTTAGATCATTTTAAGCTGTTTAAGATTGAATATAACCATTTTTAATCTATGCTCTAAAAATGAGATATTCAGTGTAAACCAAAAAAGTTCGAAATTTCAATGGTTTTTGGACCAAAGCTATGAATCCACAAGAGTTTCAAGGGCGAAAACTGATTTTTTTATATTCACTGCATACCTAATAATATAATAAAGAAATTAAAATTACATGATCTTTTCCAAAGTAGCCTCCCCCTTTTTTTGTGCTGATTTGACTGGGCGAGTTGTTTCTTTTGTTTACGATTACTTTTAAAAAACAGTCTTTGTAATGCTGCTAACTATATATATATATTTTTTGTTTTAGGTATTTATCTGGTTTCTACCACCTTCTAGAAGAAAATGCTTCAAAATGAAAAACTGCCCTGATGATTGGAGATGTCTTTGGAAAAAAATGGCATAAATGTGAATGAGACCATTTGCAACAAGATATTCTGCCATGGAAATTTTCTTCAGTTGTATCCACATCAGAAAAATTAATATTTTCAAGACTCCAAATTGGGGGCATGCAGTCTTCTCCTATGTATACTTAATCAGAGACTTGGAACCACCACTCAGAGAAGCAAGCAACACACCTCTGACACCAGAATGAGACTGTATACTTTCCAATGTGGCTAAAGAACTTGAAGGTAATGAAGACAGAATCAGAAGATAAATTGATTTAATGAGAGCCATTAAAATTGTTCATGTTGTATAGTTGTAATTTTGTATTACATTTAATTGTTGTATTCATTATTGTAATTATTCTATTATTGTTATTATTCTATTATTGTTATTATTCATTTAATTCTAGTTATAATTATAGAAACTATTGATGTAATTTATGTTTTGTATTTTAGAGATGGATATATAATTGATTGTTGAAATTGTTGGTTTTTATTGT